TCTTTATAGCAACATTTTAGTCGTTTTTATCTTTCAAAAAAATAGTAATTGGAGCTTTCTTTCACATTTTTATAAGAATTTGTATTTAGATAAACAAACTTTAGGAAGAACACAACTATCGTACGATAAAAAGTTTAAAATAGATTAGCCTTTTTTCTTGTAGATTTATACAATGTAGTACATTAAAAACAAAAGCTCATACATATAAATAAAAAAATCGTTAAAATTTAACAATGATTTACTGCAGTTAGGCTATAAAATCTAGCCGTTTTCCCTTATCCCTCCAATACTCATGTGAAAGTATATAAAATATTGTGGGTCACGCGCGAAATCCTGCCAATGCACTCAGTGGTAAGATTTCATATATATAAAATTGCATTGTGGGTCATTTTTTGATTGTGTAATTATGGGTCAAAAAATTTTTTTTTTGTAAAAAATGAATATAGTTACTATTTAATTGTCATAAACAAAATTTTAGGCACATGGTTTGTGGGTCAATATATAATGACCCATAAACCATCCAAGGTACCCACAACGTGAGTGAAAAAGACGCAAAATAACCCACAATCCGCATGGCACAAAACTATATATATAATATATATATATGATTAAATATATATGATTAAAATTAATTACTTTGAATATTTTAGTCTTCATAAGAAAATAAAAGTTGGATGATCATTTATAGAATACATCCATGTTCCTGTAAAATGTAATTGAAAACTTTTTTTGTACTTCATTTTTTATCAAGTACCTTTTTTGGAATGTTCAAAGATGTCAAATTAAACAAAATATGTTGAAATACATTTAATTAAGCCTAATGTAACAATTATATTTAATGAACTTCAAGCGATATCTGCTGGCGAATCTTTTTAAATATTGTTGCAAAGAAAATATTTCAATCGAAAAAAAAAAAATGCAATGCATGCACCGTCCTACATGTTTCTAGAACAATGCTCTCTCTAGAAAATATCTAATAAAATCTAATAAAAAGGAATAAAAAACCTATACAATAATTTTGGGTCATATAAGCCTTTTCTAAAAAAATACACAACCAAATATAAAAAAGATAAAATGCACTGAACACCTTTAATCCTCATTTCAAATAAACACGAAAAAAATACAAAGTAGTTTCAATTGCTCTTGATCTGCTTTGTTAAGTACTATCTCCGGTTTAAGAAGAAAACACCAAAAACGACTTCAAATATGCATCATTACTTATAGGTTAGTAATATCTACTTTAAAATTGATTGTGATGTCTCATGGTTAATTTAGGGAAATCCCCAACCGTCTCTATATATACGGCCGTGTGTTGTCTTCTAGGGACAAAGTAGATATCTATCGCTAGCACTAGCATTTAATCTGTACGTTGAAACCATGAAGTTTGCCATTCTCTTTACGATTCTGATAATAATTTCCGAAGCCAAGTCAGATTCCTTGTTAACTGGTACTTATAATCCGAACTCTACTCTACGTGATGTAAAGGAAATCGACCTCCTCCGTCAGCTTGTAAACCAAGAGACCCTAATCCGGGTATCCGTAGTCAATGACATCAGAGCAGCAGTGAATGACGTCAGCTTTATTGAAGAAAGACATGGAAGTCACTGAGACAACGGTCGCCACTCTGCTGCAAACGATAGCAACGCTCAAACGAGAGGTTGCAACCCTGAGGCAAGACGACTCTTTATCGCAGAAGATCGAAAAATTAAAAAGGCAAATCGATACTTTAAATCAAAACAACTCTTTACAGCAGACCGTGGAAGTTTTGAGAAGGCAGATTGGTTTTCTTAGACGTGACAGAACTTTACAGAACTCGGTAAACTCATTGAAAAGAGAGATTAACTCCCAAAAGCGGGAGGGCAGGGAAAATTTAGAAAATTGTCAGAAAAAAATGCAGGACTTTGATCAAAAGTTCAAAATTCTCAGTGAAAATATGACGGCTATCCAACAGTATCTTACAAGGACGGAGGGGAAAACCATAGAAAAAGGTAATTGATCCTTCTCTCTCACTGTCTTTCATCCTATCTTACTCTCTCTGTGTTTATAATAATGATGTTCTGGATTTTAGTATTGATATTCTCATTCAGGTTCAAAACTAACAAGGGATTGTAGAGATCACTATCTACTTCAACACGCAGTCTGGTTTATATAACATAAACCCTTTTGGTAACGAGACCAGTGTCAGCCTGTATTGTGACATGGTGACTGATGGAGGAGGGTGGACAGTAAGATCTCTCTCTCTCTCTCTTTCTCTCTCTCTTTCACTTTTTTTTCTCTCTTCTCTCTCTGTCTCTCTATCTCATGAATTCTATTTAATATACTATCTTTTATGAACTTTTAAACTGTAAAACTTTTTTCTCCCCTCTGTCTCTCCCTTCCTCTCTCTCCAATCAATTTCAGGTACTATAATATATCTTTTAAAAATGATTTTTTAAAACTGATATTTAATATTTATACTGAAAACAAACTGACAAAAGTGATCATTTAATATTTTTTTTTATCCCTACTTACAAAAAGCTAATAACATTGTGACAGTAAATATTTTTCATCACAAAGTAGAAAAACATGTGTACTATATCATGGATGTAGAGGCAAAACTTAAATAATTGTTAAGAAGTGAATACTTTAAGTAGATTTTCATATTAAGAATAATTTATAAAACAAAACAATCGGATAATGTTTAAAGAATTGTTCCGTTGTCCTCTGTGGGCAGACTAGCCAGTCCCTACTCAAAACTTATTTTGCCCCAAATAAGCAATTATTTCTTCAGGTACTATGGTAATATCATTTTGAAAATAAACATTGCAATCGAATTTATTTTTTTTTAAAATTCAGACCAAGTCAAGAGGGAGTAACAATTTTGTTTTTTTTTTATTTTAGCTCAGTTTAAAATTTACTTGTAATTTAAATGAAAGAATATGCTAAAATTAAATGACTTTTTTATGAATAACGTATTTGAAACATTGTTCACAGTAAAATGTATTAAAAAAACAACTTCACTACTTTCTTGTATAAACCCGACATAATTCATAAATCCTTAGGCTATCCAGAAACGTGTGAGTGGTTCGGTGTCATTCAACAGAAACTGGACGGACTACAAGGCGGGATTCGGGAATCCTAACGGATCCTAATGGATAGGTAACGTATAAACAGTTATGGAATGACTACAGAGGACATAACAAAGGGTCAGGGTTCGAGATGAAGAAATATTCCCCTCCCTCGGGGAACCATTAATTTGCGATTTACATAGTACCCATTCTATAACTGTGTAATATTTTATGTTTTTTAGGGGATGATAATTTTTCTGATTCAAGTTTAAATAAGCCTTTAATTTTTTAGCAGTTAATTATTAAAATGTAGTTGATAATAATTCATGTGAAAAACAATGTATAACGAATTCCCCATTTTGATTTCAAGACATGTATGTTCATTGCTGCATGCACTACACAATTAGAAATTTCTGCATACCCTCATAATCATATGTTGTTTTTTTATGACAACTTGAAATAAATAATTTTTGCTTTATTATTTCTTTGTATATAACACGACTATAAAATATTTAAGGGAATGACGTCATACATCAACTTACTAAAAGAAGGAACTCCTCCCTCTACGTCTCCATGACACTGACCAATGGGACAAAGCTCTATGAATTATACAACCAGTTCTCTGTTGCTGACGAAACCAACAACTACCGACTTTTTCTTGGCGGACCAGCCATTGGGACCCTGGGTAGGTAAACGGAAAAAAGAATGTACGAATGACGACCTATATTAAGGAGAGCGAGGGAGAAAGATTTTAATTTCTTGTGACAGATAGACAAATATCAATTCTTTCTGTGAGAATCTACCCTATAGCTACGTAATTAATGGAGGGGGATGTGTTGATATCAATATTTTGAAAGTAAAATGTTCCTGTTATATTGAAAATCGAGAGTCCCTACTATATAAACCAATCAGTAATAACTCGCTAAAAGATTGAACATCCCCACGTCATAAACACTACATGCATACTTGTAGTAATTTTGTAAGATACATAACTCATACCGAGAAATCAGTAAAGGTGTTAAACGATTATTGAATTAAAAAAAACAACTTGCATTGGAAATGTAATTAAATACAGTCGATAACGAGGACTTTTTGTAATTATCCCGCTTTTGTGTTGAAGATATGCATTGTAGACTTAACAAAATCAATACAACAATAAAGAAAGAAGTTATTTACACAAATTGCATCGACGTGTAGTCGCAAAAGTTTAAAGAATTCTAATGATTACTGTGTTGATAAGAAGAAGATTGTTGTGAAGAAAATCTATTGTTTCATGTACTGTTGACTTAAAGAGGTACACCCCCCCCCCCCCCCCCAAAAAAAAAGAAATTAAAAAAAATTATTTTCTAATATTATATCAATTTACTGGTTCATGAAATTATTGTTTTGAATACCCCTTCTTTATATGTACGTATATAGGCTTACCAATTTTTAATATTTAAAAAAGGCTTCACGTGAATGAAATAATAATTAAATTTATTGACGTCACCCGCGTGGCGCGGTGGTTAGAGCTGCAAAGGAATCTTTACGTTGAAGGTTCCAATCCCAATGTAGGGCGTACAGACTGGTCCTTCGGATGTGATCGTATGAATCAAGGTACAGTGTCGTAGTAAATGCTGGCACGAAAAACATTGCAAACTGCTCAATTGCCGTGTATACCATGTATTTTAAAACAAATTTTCTAGTTCTCAACCGGCAAGTGATGGCGTCACTATATGAGTGAAAATTTCTCGAGACGGACGCTATACTATACACATTCAATCAATCAATCAATCAATCTTTTATTTCTGTTGAGACTCATCTACGTTCGTATACAGTCAAAAAAGAAATCAATTGACAACAGAAAAACAACGTTAAATATTAAATGAAAACAGTGTTCATCTATTGTAATTGAAAGCAACGCAATTTAAAGTAATTCAAAAAAAGTTTTTATTGTTGAATACTATAGATACTTTAAGCTTTAGATTTTTATTAAATAATAATGATCTAATCTGAAATAGGTGTTCATGTTATATTTTTCTTTGATAATTTTACAGGAGACCGTATGTTAAACACAGGTAATTCTAACACAGATCTGTCTGGGATGCCCTTCTCCACCCCGGACAGAGATAACGACAGGTATATATATAACTGTGCTGCTTCCAGTAACCGTAGCGGAGGCTGGTGGTTCAACCTCTGTCATGACGCCTTCCTTAACGGTCAATGGTCCCCGGGTTCCTGGTGGAATCCATGGTATCCTACAGTGAGGGATGGTAAACAGATAAAGGAGACTTTTATGATGGTGAAACCTCACTGACTTTTTATATCTTATATCCCTAATTGTTCCATAGTTGTTCACATATCTTAATTACATTTATTATAAATGATTATGACTTTATTCTTGGGATAATGATGGCATGGATGATTTATTACAAAGTAACACATTTTTAGATATAATATTATGTGTAATGAATTTAATGAAAACTACAAATATGTATTTTGTTCTAAAAATATTGTTATACATGTAACCTTACTTCTTAAAAATGCAAAAATTGCATTTCATCATTTTACATAATAAAATTTTATATCTATATCATTCATTGTCTTTTTGTTCTTAATCATATGATATTATAAAGTATGTAGATAACAAGGACTTTTTTTCTATACAAGTCGTTTTTTAAACTGATCCCTGCGAAAGGTCAGATAACTGCAGAGAAGTAGTATTTAATTCTAGTAGTCTATCATAATGTATAACTCCATCAACCAATCATCTCCATACAAATGTGTAGTTTGATAACGTAGATTTATTTTCATATACAAATATTTCTCAATCGACCATGTCTTTTGTTTGTGTGTGGAAAATGCTGCATTTCATCGCCATATCAATGAATTGGAGAACAAAGTATTATGATTTATTTTGATTTTGTTAACATTTAAGGTCTTGACAAATCAACTTCATAAGCGAAAATTGAAGTTCGTGCTCACTCTAAAAACAGATGATACAAACTTTTCTTTTCTTTTTCTTTTAGGAGAATTAATATCATGTCTTTTGTTTAGAAAAGTGGATAATTCTTAGATCCCCCCCCCCCCCAAAAAAAATGCAAAATTAAATAGAATTGGAAAATATTAGTAACATATAAATAAAATTACAAATATAGATATCACACACCTAGTGAAGGTATACATGTCACAGCCGTATTTTATCTAAAACTCCATTAATAGACAACAATAACACAGCTGGTGGGTTCTTTTCTTTATCTATGATGTATCAATTACTATTGATGATGGATATTACAAGAATAATAATTAAAGGTGACCTGTAAATATAAATGAATACACTCATACACTTACACTCACACATTTAATTCTTTTAGATTACTTTAACTGTTCCGATTAATTAGATAATTAATTGATAAGGTGTTTAATACATTCAGAGCAACAGTGGTAAATTAATTCTTACCGATTAGACAGATATTACATCGTCTTCATTAATCATAAATGAGAGACTTTATATTTGGAGAGGAGATAAATTCATCCTTCCCCCTGGCTGTCTTAGGGTGGAGTGAGTTATTAAGGGTGTTTGGCGCCAAGCATGCGTATTTGGTACCAAACTAGTAAAACCACTCACACACTTCTCACACTGAAATATCAACCAATCATACACCTTCAAACCGCACCCATTCTGACACAAACACCTTTGACCTTTCACACTCTCAAACCAACCAATGAGCATTCAACCCCATGAATATCAATGAATGTCTTTATGAATGACTGAACACATAGTAAATTCCAGAGAACTGTAATTCACTATGCTGTATAATAGATGAAAATGATGATGATGGAAATGAAATTATTAATATATTAGGTCACAAATTATTAATGAATAAATTATATAGTATTTATTATAATAATAATTTATTCACCCTGTGACATTCTCCCCCTCTTAGAGAAAAATGTCTCCTGACATTTCAAATATGAAACATCACATCTGAAATAAAATAATCAGTTAAATTAAAACTCATAATACTTGACACTTGATCATTGGAAATGTCTTCTCCTGTAAACAAGAAGAACTGTTATGCATTATAAACATAAGTTGTAATGCTAATGATCAATCAAAAGAACAAGCATAATCCAAGTAAAATCAAATTCACTATTCTGAAAAACAGTACATGATTAATATCATAAAATAAACTAAGTAACTACTCTAAAGCTACTACTAAATCTACTGTCATAAAACTACAATACACACCTATATACTGTGCATCATATTTTAGTTCATCAATAAAATTAATTTAGTAATTCTTCTAAGTAAATTACTAAATCTAAGATCATAAAACTATATTACATATAACCCTGTGACATTCTCCCCCTACACATACCAAACCTGAGCACACTGTTCCCCAACTACCCATTCACCGTATTTATCTGGTGCTTTTCGCACACGAGTAGAGCGTCTCGGTTGTGCAGTAGACAGACTCGTTTCACGATCACGTGGCTGATTCCGATTAACATTAGTATAATTTAAGCCCGAAATTGTGTTAGAGTTATTATCTTGAATATAAGATTCAGGATCAACAGAAGAAAATGAATCAAACTGTTGCATAGGTCTACTGACATTATTATTAATATTGAAAGTATGATGATTTGGTATACTGACATCATTACTGACATTGAAAGTATTTTGAATTGGACTGTTGATATTATTGCTCACATCGAAAGTAGACATTGCCCTAGAACCACTTGATCCCATATGTTCACTTGAACTATTGAGGTCAATATTGTGATCTACACCTGAAGTGTTAAATAAGACATTGTTCTTTCTTCTAGAGTTAAATGGTCTTGAGACATATATTTCCTGTTCAGAATCTGATTCACTGGAATCAGACTCTTCTTTACTTACTTCACCTTTCCTCTTATTTTGTCTGGTCTTTCTTTTGAAAACTGTTGGGGGTGTCTCGTCAATCTCTTCTTCATCTGCAAGAAACATAAAAGGTAGTAATAAATTTCTGTGCAGTAACCTTGTAGGTCCCTTTCCTGATGCCCTTTGTACCTTGTACACAGGAATGTCCTCATTTGGTTTGTCTAATACCACATAAGGGTCTTTCTCCCACTTATCTGAGAGTTTACATTTCCCTGTTTTTGCTAATAAACGCACTAAAACTCTGTCGCCAATCTCTAATTTAGAAAAACGAACTTTATTGTCATAATTTTCTTTGTGTCGAGAACTGTTCTTTTCACTATTTGATCTTGCAACTTTGTAGGCAAATTGTAATCTTTTCTTTAATTGTTCAGCATAGTTCAGATGACTTTTAGGTTTTACTGTAGATTCTGAATCATCTAAATTTAAAAAGGCATCAATAGCTAACCTTGGATGCCAACCAAACATCAAATAATGAGGGCTGAATCCTGTAGTGTCTTGTTTGGTTGCATTGTATGCATGTACTAAAGGAAGTATATATGATTTCCAGTCTTCCTTCTTATAATTTTCCAAAGTGCCTAGCATTTTGATTAAAGTTTGATTAAATCTTTCTACAAGACCATTTCCCATTGGGTGGTAAGGTGTTGTTCTACTTTTACTAATCCCACTAATTGCACAAAGTTCTTTAATAACTTTACTCTCAAAATTGCGACCTTGATCGGAATGAAGTCTTTCTGGGAAACTGTAATGACAAATAAAATTCTCAAACAGAGCTTTAGCTGTTGTTTTTGCTAGCTGATTCTTAGTCGGAACTGCCATAGCATATTTCGTAAAATGGTCGGTTATTACCAAAATGTTCTCAAACCCACCTTTAGACTTTTCTAATGTTAAAAAATCAATACATAGTATTTCTAAAGGTTTAGTAGTCTGTATATTTACAAGATTAGCTCTAGGGCTTTCTGCTGTTTTTCTACGAACACATCTACCACAAGTTTCAACTCTTTGTTTAATTTCTTTTTCCATTCCATTCCAGTAAAATCTATGTTTTGCCAACCATAAAGTTTTGTC